AGCATTGCAGTTACTAATCAGGAGGCCAAACAGCAGCAACAAAATCACTGTAATGTGGAGATTGGATACATAACAGAAAGATGATACAACACAGTTGCTTGTGACAATTGAAAGCATAACCTGTGACTTAAGGATTGTTTCGATAGTCAGCTCGAAAAGTAGACCACAGAGACGACTGATTATTGTTTTCATTAAAAAAAATAATTAAACAGAAAATAGCATTAATGCCTAGAACCTTTGGGGAAAATTTAATAATGCGATGTTAAAATTGCATCTTTTATAAATCACATTTACAAATAAAAATTGAGCTCTATTAAAGTTGTGTAAGTAGTTCTAAGGAAAATGTATTTGTAGCTTATAAATATATATAAATTTTGCAGACAGAATATTAAGTTTTATAGCTGCATATTAAAGTGTTCGTTCAAGTAACTGGTTTGCTCCCTTTAAGAAGTGTAATAAGATTTTGCATTGCATTCGATTTTTAATCTTGGCAGTGACTTCTTTTTTCACAGTATCAGCTATGAAATGTGTGTCAATTGATGTGTAAATTTTTTACTATAAATTTGGAGAACGTTTTTATGAAGAATGTTTAGAGAAGTGTAGACTTTTCAGGTGCTGGTTTACTCTAATTCTCTGCTTAGTTTCCAGTCCAGATGGCAAGCCAAGCAAGCAGTAAATTTTGCACATCGAGGAAGTGCTGGAGAGTTCAGTTTACTTTTTGTCACATCTGGCTCAAATACATTGCATATATTGTGATAAATTTATAACGTTTTTCACGGAAGTAGCATATAGAACTGCCACTACAGAAAGGATGAGGTAACAGTGAGATGACAGAGCATTTCCTAGAGCATTCTAGAGTAAAGATCCTGCAATTCCCAAAGACTTTTCTTATGTCATGTTCCCTGACTCTGACAGTGAGTCACTCCCTCAGTCAAACACTTCTTTGTTTTGCCAAGCAAAAAGCAGTCTATCTGGGACCTGAAACACAAATTGGTTGCATGCATCTTCTGTGCTGACTAGTAGTTTACAAACCATGACATTTTAGCTTGTTCATTGGCTAAAGAGATGTCATAGCTGCATTAATTAACAGGTAGTGTAGGCACAGGGCATTTACCTTTTTGGAGTAGGTACCTGCCTGTGTGCTAAATTTCAGTGGCTGGAAAAGATTTTCCATATTTGAAGTGTTCCTTGTAGGGATTATTTCTTCTCATGGTAAGCATGTCTGAAATCACATTAAAAATGTGACTAATACAGTGATAAGTAGTGATTAAAACATGTAAATTAATAATAAATTGTAAATGAAATTGAACTCCCATATTTGCATGACTATAGATATCTGCTAAAATGCCTGAGCTGTGTGGAACTTTAAATTAGCTAACTCTCTTGGTGTCTTTTTGCGTTCTCACAACTATACCACATTTCAAGAGAGCTTGACTGTCCACTGATCATCATCAAAATGCATTGTTTTATTTCAGAAATCAGATCACTGTGCTATCAACTGGTAATTTGGCATGTGCAAAGTTAGGAATAGCTGAGAGAAATGCATGGAACAGCAGTCAGTGCCCCTGTACTTTCAGCCTCACCACTCTTGTAGAGATGGAACTTGTGTTTTATGGTTATCTCACCTATTCCAGATGCAGTAACTTTTTCAGTATGAACTTCAATTGTGCTCAGTGTATTATATTACCTTTACTTGTTATCACAGAAGGATTTTGAGATGTAATACCCAATAAAATGATGAAAGGATTCCATGTTGTACTGACACATCTGAGGACTTACTTCAGACTTTTACAGCTATAATAAAGAGCATAAAATTTAGCACGATTCTCCAGATAACCAGCTTACTGTTATATCTGTGGGTTGTGTTACATTACAACATACCAGAATGTGGTGGGTAGCAGGATGGCATTTAAAAACTGTTCTTTTTTTGGATGAGACATTTGATGTCTGTGACTGAAGTGTTGGCTCCCAGTCTTTAAGAGCTGAACAGAATTTGGCTATTTCTTACCTTCTATACCCTTGATTGTGATGTCAATTTTGTTTTGTTTTATTGGCCACCACTTTTAGCACAAATATGGCTCATAATTGCATTCAGATACGGAAAAGAAATTTTAGGGTATTTCAGCTCAGAAAATAGAGCACTTGTGTGACTTTGCTGCTATTTGTTTATAAGGTTATTAATGTCAGGACTTTCTTTGCATTTCGTTTGAGGTGAATTGGAGCTGCTGGAAAGGAGTTTATAGGGTTACATGTTTATAGGCTGTTAATTGTGCTTGTTAGCTGACTTAATTCAGTAACACCACACGCTTTGAGATAGAGCCTTGAATCAAAACTTTTGACTCAAATATAACAATGTCTTTGAAGTTGCATTTTACCAGGATATGAAAGTTTAAACAATGTAATTCTTTAAATAGGGAAAATCCGTAACGTTTTTGACATAGATTAAACAGAAAGGTTTGGAGACATAATCTGTAGATTTCACTTTATGAAGTTTCCAAAATAAAGTGGTAGATATGTTTCTCCTAAAAAAAATCTGGATGTATTGGACATTTCAGCCTTCATCAATGCCCAGAGCATTACATCAGCAGTCAGAAGTCCCTGCATGGATCACCTCTGCATTTTTTTTTATTTTATTTTATTTTTTTTTACCCTTGACAATAAAGTGGGCTGCTTTCAAAGGTTAGAGAGCAGTGTTCTTTCCCAAAGCAATCCATCTCCATGCCAAGTCTGTCATTAGTTGTATTTTTGACAGAATAGTGTTTCTCTGCAACTATAACTGAGTCCATCTCCTTTTGTTCATTTACCAAGAAAAGACAATAGAGGTAAAACCAAGGTCTCCTCCAAGGAGGAGTCATGGCTGTCCCGACAAAGCTCCAGTTACAAAGATCTTGCTGATACCTTTGTTATTAATGTGTCAGCTGGATGTAAAAGTCTTTCTAATGAAACAAAAGTTAATGATGTCAGTTTGCAGACTTACTCTCCATTAGCTAAGGCAATTTACCACTGCACTTTTTAAAGTGCAGCTCCATAGCCCTTCTCAAAATAAAGATCCACTCATGTAAATAGAGTTCTGTTGACGAGAAGGTAAGAGAGACAATAATTGGCATTTATCCAGGAGCCTAATGGTCTCTAAGAGTGGAGTCTTATTTTCAAAATGACAAAGCCAACTATATCTGTGCTGAACTACTTGATAAATGGAGTTGGATAATGGAGTTCTAGCATGGAGTTGGCTGGAAAGAGGTAAAACCAAGAAGGGGCAGTTGAAATAAATGAACTTCATCCTGTAAATTCTCTGATTCTACATGAAGTTTAACATCATCTCATCTAGGCTGTATACAGGATTAAACAACATAGGTAAACCATTAAGTGACGTAGCACACACAGTTTTGATGGTCCAAATAGAGCATGTATTTTGAGCACTGCACACAGTTACTCTTCTCCAGGACCTGTAATGGCCATACTCCATAAACAGATCTGTTTTGGTGGTAAAAACAGCTATTTATATAACACACAAGTGAAATTACATACTGCTATTGTAATCTCATGGGTTTTCTTTCCTAATCTCTTCTGTTTAAGAGTATCTGATAACTTCTCTCTTTCTTTTTACTGTAAAAGCATGTCATGCATATATTTAAAACAAAATCCCCTAAAGGGACATTGTTTAGAAAGGATTTGGAGCTATGATTGGTTCTCCCCTATAACTCTGTGAACTGGTGATTTAATGATTTGCTGTTTTAAACACAAGTTAAAAGATAGAGATTTGGGGTTACATCTTCTACGATCTTGATTTAAAAGTTTGTTTCAAGACTTTTGTATGGAAAAGTCAGTAATCTTCACAGTAATCTGAATGCTAGCTGCAACTCTTCAGTGTAATTTGTCAAAATACTCCATGGCTTCCTGGTGAATACTTAAATACAGCAGTAATTCTGCTCTAGACTTTCGCATTTACAGAGCTTTTTGGACCATAACCCCTGTTTTCAGTTTTACATACTTATCTAGATCCTGGATTTTTCTACCATTCCATAAAGTCTTACATTTAAAACATTTTGTTTTTTAAACAATTCAAGTTCAAAATGAATAATTTTACATAATGTGATTAAGGTATGGTACTGAGTTCCTGTACATTTCGAACTTACATCCTAAATACACATTTTAGTGTCAGGATTAAGCCTCATTGCTCCTGCCTATGTGCAACTAGGACTGTTTAAGTAAATAAATAAATAGATTAAATAGATAAGGTGCGCTTTTTTTTTTTTTTTTTTTTTTTTTTTTTTTTTTTTTATTAAGAGATTATGTCTGTAGATAAGAAAATTAATAAAATAAAACCACTCATCATCTGAGTTTTGTTCTCACTCTGACTGCTGTCAGGGCTATTTCCAGTCTCTCTTGTTAATTGGGTGCCCCCTTCTTTCCTTATCTTTTGTGACAGGTAACCTGGGGTCTCAGCTGGTTGAGTATAAAGAAGAAATGTACATCACATCTGACTGTGGGAAGACATGGCGCCAGGTAGGAAACTGAAATAATTGAAGGCAGTTTTAAATTTACCCAATATGTTGGATTTTATTATGCATACCTTATCTTTATACACCAACTCTTTTGAGACGGGTGGGCATTATTTTGCAAGCAAGATGTGGATACTGAGAAATTAAGGAGGTGATTTGCAAAGATCTAAATTGGTTGGGCTGTCAGATTGCCCTGAAACTCAAATATTCTGGTTTCTTTACAAATCTTCTAATATCTTGCATAAGAAGCATGCGGTCCAGTTAGGTTTTTTGTAATTTCAGTAATCTTCCTATGCTAATGAAGAGGTGGACTTGGGCTAAATCATGCAGTATGAATATCCTATGCTGAAAAATGGGGTTTGTATAGGAAGGGAGAAAATTGTTCTGCTTTGCAGTTAAAAACTGCTATTAAAGCTTAAAGTTTGTTTTCCATTGGAAGTGAGAACACAAAAAGAGATTGAAAAAAAAATAGTAGTAAACCTTTGAATGCCTTTTAGTATGATTTAATCAATTATAGGATTAAATATATGAAGTATTTTTAAAAAATCCCAGTCTTGTAGTGGTTGAAATGACATTTGATTTTCGGATGTTTTATGTTTCCAATGCGTAGTGTTGATTTAAACCTAACACCTTTCTAATTCACTTTATTTTAAATTGCTCTGCCTCAATGATATTTTCTTTATGAGTTTAAATGTCCATAACAATAGTAATAAGACATGAGGAGGTTCTGTAATCTACTTTTAATGTATATCCAGAGAAAAGAAAAAACAGCATTCAAACTACCACTATATCAAAAAGTATTTTATTTCAGTTAAAACAGTGTTTTAGTGTTCTACTGAAATAAAAGCTGTATTATTATCTGAGAATAAGTAAATGGAAAAATGCACTCACTAGTGTTATTAATCTCAGCCCCTTTGACATAAGAGTAAATACAGACACTTTCTTATATTGCTGTTTTAGATTGCCATTAATACTCTGCAAAAGAACTTTTAAAAAAAATATATATTATTTTTATCGTGGTAATGTTCTTTAAGTTTTAAAAGATAAGATTTTATGCCAAATTCTTTCTTGAATTCTAGCAGATGATAAATAGGTGTTTAAATGCAAAAGCCTTCCAGAATTTACAGCCTGTGCTGTGCTATCTCATACTTAACAGAGGCCTCTCATGTTTTATTGTCACCATTTCCCAGACTTTCATAATTTTGATAGGGTGAGAAATAAGAAGGAAAGAGTGATGGAGATCAAAGTCATATTTTGCTGCTTTTATTTTTGAGACACTCCAACAGATGATATGTGTTGGAACTTGACCTTAAGATGGCTATTCAAACTGCAAAACCAGCCACAAACTGATCCTTATTGTGACAGTCAAAATCAAACCCACCATTGCTCACTTGATTTTAATTAAAACTGCTGTGAAATCTTGGAAGAGCTTACTCAATATTTGCTATCAGAATAAAAACATAGATTGCTATATATACATTACATGTGTTTCCTTTCTCTGTTGGAACTCATGAAAAAAAATAGACAAGAATTTTGTCATCAGCGATACAGGAATTATTTGGATAGAAAGTTACAGCTTTCCTGTGCTGGCAGAAGGGAGGGCAAAGCTCATGTTCAGTTACAGTTCTTTGGGTGGGTTTAAGTCTCCACCTTGGAAACTTTGAGGCTGTGATTATTGAATCCCTGTCACCTTTGTTACATTCCATACATGAGGTTGCAGAGCTGTCTACAAACTATGAGAAGAAATACACAAGCTTATGTAGAGTGAAAAAAAAACAACAACATAGGTAAATTTGGAGAACTCAGAGGAAAAGACTGTTAAGGAATTGAGTAAAAGCTTTCCTGAAGTAATAGCAATATTGGCACTGGGACTCATAGGCCTAGGAGGAAAGTGAAAGATAATCCAACCACCTGCTCTGAAGCATCAATTTTACCAGAAACAACTTAAATAGAGATTTTCCAGGCCTATTTCTTAATCTTTCACTGTAGGCTCCTATATGGTGTTTTACTTCACTTCATAGATTTTTTAACATTTAACATAAGCTGCTTTGCATATCCTTGCTTTTTGTTGTTCTTGCTGTTCCACAATTTTTTGCAAGGTAAGCTGATTTCCTCCTGTCTTTAGGGAGCTGAAGTTTTCTGTCAGCTTTAAATAACCTTTCAGATGTTGAAAGGTAATTATCATGTCTACCCATAGCACAGGCTTTTCCCCCTCCCTGCCAGTTTCAAATCTGCCTTTTTTTCCTAAGGGAAGGAGTTTCTAAACTGCTCTTCCTTTTTGTTGTTTGTTGATCAGACTATCTAAAATCTTCTCTTGAAAAATGGAGAAATTGGATGCAACATTATAAATTTTATAATTATTAATCAGAATGAAATGATTTCCTTTGATATCTTGACATCTTGGCTATCACCTCACTTCAGGAGGAGATCTCTTCTTTGTACTAGAGCATCACATTGTTAACTCAAATTCAGTCTGTGATTTGTAAATGGGACCAGTCCCCATATTTGTAGTTCACCCTCAAATTAAGGAAAATCTGTTTTTCAGAAATGTCTGAATCTGTTTTACACACTTGGAATGATTTCAACTGAACTCATGTTTCCATGGCTTTTACATGGTATGTTCACTTGAGAATTCAGGGTGATTTACTATGGCAGACAACACAGCTAGCACTGATAGGTACAAATCAAAATGCCCAAAAAGAGTTCCATAGAATTAAGTAAAACTTAAGAAAAAGTAAAAGCGAAAATTCTAAGTAACCACAGTGTGGGCTGGTTACAATTGTTCTACTGCCTTTCTGTTGCATGATGGCTGACTTGCTTATTAGTGTTTTTTGAAAACATTACTGACTAACATTTGAAAGCAGAATGAAATTTGTGGTGTGTACTGTATGTACAACATGGTACTGTAAGCAGCACGGATTTAGGAGCTGATTGACAGGTAGCTTATATGTCCATGCAGCAGCAGTGACCTGGAATGTAAGCAAGACAAGGGAAGCCAACCTTGACATTATCATGAACTGTGTGAACTTAGATCATCTTAAGTGAACCACGAAGTATGCCTAAAGTGAACTCCTGGGACAGATGTGTCTAATTGGAAGATTTCTCCATCTATTGTACCAGGAAAACAATATTGATAAAATGTGTTAATGAACGTGATACTGGGTCAAATAAATAAATCTTGCATCCTGGGAGAAATGGACTGCCTCTGTACACAATTACAGACCATACAGATTTAAAACATTGTTTTTCCCTGTGAGCCTGTTTTGAGTCCTGATTTTCAAAATTTTAGGATGCTCTTCTAAATGTTAAGGATGTGCTTTTTTAAAACAAGCTATTTCTCTTCAACTTTTCATTTTATTTCAACTTCATTTGCACCGTTAGCAAAGTAAGAGAAAGTTCTGGCTTTCAGAAGAAATGGCTGAAATTCAGATTCTGTGATTCTGTGAAATAAAAGTAAAGACAAGAACAGGAAAGCCTTTCATGTTTGATCTGCTATGGAAAATCTAGTGCAGCCACAATGTATTGTACTAACCTTCTAAGGTTACACAGTGCACCTAGGAAGTGAACCTAGATCTTTGGAGCTCCAGTTCAGTGGTTCAGTTGTAGGAATATTCTTTATCTGTGTCAAATCCTTTCGTATCAAAGCAATATGAAATACCTTTGTTTAAGCAAGACTACTTTTTTTTTCTGCAGACATCTTAAGGGATGTGTGGTAATACTTTCAAGCACAATGGTAAAGGATGCAATCCCAGCTTCTCACCACTGTGAAGGTCCAGCTGCCTCCTTCTGCTGTAGGAAAATTACAGATTTGGATTTAGAAATGGATGTCACTTTGTGAGATGCAAGAGACTTTGATTATTTTTGGTTACTTCTAAGATATCTCAGAGTAAAATTGTGTGCAATAAATTTCTCAATTAAGCATGTTCAGTTATTTTATGGAGCTCTCTTAATTGCTCCCAACAGATAACCTGCTGCAGTTGCAATAGACACAGGAGCAAACAAAGAGACAGAAGTTGACTTTACGATTATAAAGCACATAAATTTATCCAAAACATTACAAAAGAAGGAAAGATTTAGAAACGGGTTATATTAATTTAGTTCTGTTCGCTACTAATAAGGATCATTATGAATCTATTACCTGATGTCATTTATTGGAGAGAAGTCATAGTTCTAGGCTGTCATATGAACATGCCTATCTATTGTTTTCAGGTTCTGATTTCATGAATTCATTATTAAATGACAATGCAGGAATTGATACTTATCTTTTAGTTAGAATGTATTTGAAATGCTTGCAAGAAGAACATGATATAAATATGACATTTATATACCTGTAATGGGTCTGCTGTGCCTTATAGCATGCCATAGTTTACACGGGAATGGGTAAACCTGGTGTACTGAAAAGGTGCACTAGGAATTGCCATGATGTTTTTCTGAGAAACCCTAAATTGGATGAAGTCATGCAGACAGCATCTTCCTTTATCTTCTGTATGAAGGTGAAGCTTTTAGAAACTTCTTGTTCTGGCACTGCTGTTTCATTTTGATTTGAGCAAAGGTTCAAATGAAATTTGAAACTCTGCTGGCTTATCTGAGTTGAAGCGATTTCATCCTCTTGAAGTACCTCTAAAATGACTGTTTGCATTTCACTGAATTGTTTTCTAAAATGCATAGCTGAATGTAACAAGTAGATAGGACTGTAAATGTCCCCTATCGGGGTTCTGTCAGTAAACTGACAACACCAAAAAGCCAATCAAACACTCGAAACCCAAGGAATCCCATAACACGTGTTCTTACGAAATGAGGGGAATATTGAATTCTAAAGGCAAATTAAGTGCTTGCTATTTGTGAAGTAATGGTGGATGTGCTGTACGATTAAGACTTTTTCTCTCTTTGGTTCAGTCTTACTTATCTCCTAAGTGTATCCTTTAGCACTGTCATTAAAAAACCATTGTGTATTGTCTGCATTTTCTACAAGGCAAAGTAGAGCTCGCCTTTATGTTTTTTTCTTTGGCTTTGTCAAAGTGTGTAGGAGGTTCTGTGTTCTATGAACTGCTATGTGTGTGCATAAACTCTCACTTTATCACTTGATCTTATGGTAAATGAACTTTCACTGGCTAATAACATGAGTAAACGCCGGCTTAAAACAGATAACAGATGCAGAAAATAGGATATTTCTTATTCATTTATTTTAGTACTACTGATGACCTCTAGACAAACGAATGAAAATAATTTAGGAGATTTTGACTCCTTTATAACCATTAAGTCAATATTACATGTATTTTGGTTCAGAGCTCAGAGCAGCCCCCTTATGTGATCACAAAGTTTGAATTTAAATAAATCATTGACATTGCAAATGCAGAAAACAGTGGCACCAATTACTTCAACTTCGGTAGAGTCTGAAGAACTTGCAAGACAGCCCCAGACAGTGGCAGTTTTCCTATTTTTCTTAGAATTAGATTACAAAGCATTTCATTCTGCAAGATATAAAGAATATGGCAAATACTGAAGTAAGGTGATAGGTCACCTGGTGATATATAATAGGAAAGAATGCAGAAGGCATGCTGCAAGGAATGTAAGGTAGGGCTAAAATCACTTTAGACAGTTTAATCTGACTGTGATTTGAACCTGAACATTTTCTGATTCACCTGCTTAGCTTTCTTCTCTTTTACAACTGGGAGAAGTGTAAGAGTTAAACTGACTTGTATGTCCTTTTCTGTTTACAGTGTGGGCATTATGAAACATGTAAGATTTTTAATACTGGTTTTCTCATACATTTTGTTTCTGCATTTGCTTAGTTGGACTTTTCGTTTTCTGATTTGTAGGTCTTTGAAGAGGAGCATCACATCTTGTACCTGGACCACGGTGGAGTTATTGTGGCCATCAAAGATACCTCTATCCCACTGAAAATACTCAAGTAATCCTACAGTCAATTAGAGCAAGCTATTGTGTATTCAATACAAGAGACAAAGTTCAGATTTTAAGATGAACATTTCAGTGTAATCACGTATGAGATGCAAGTGTAATCTGCTTAATTTAACATTAATTAATTTGACAGAATTCAGAAAGATGTTTTCATAAAGATTTCTTCTTGGTGGTATTGGTACCATGACATAATGAATTAATCATAACAAGATTTTCTAACATCAGTATAGATATTTTTGCTTAAACTGCTATCCTGGAACTCTACGGTACAAGCCATGTTTATCATGGTCGTTATCTGCTACTGGTTTGCACCTGCCGCATATGGCAGTAATGTTCTCCCTATGATGCCTTAGGTTTCATACTGTGGTAAAGTTCTGTTCTCTTCAGCCACAGTAATGAGAATGCTGGAGAATAGCCCTGAATTGCTCTGGCACGAACAATGCAACGTAGTCTTTTGGAGCCAATGGGAAAAGAATTTCTCTGTGCATGAAAGTTACATAGTACCATATGCAAGAAGCCCAGTTCTTCTGACAGTTTCCTACACTAATTAATTATACTGCACATTCTGTGTAGATCCTGTCATATGATGCAACTACAGAAAACGGCCTTCTCTTGTTTGACAGGAAAATTTGGTTGCAAATAATTTTGTTATGAAATAACAAATTTTAAACTGAATGATAGTGAAGCAAAACATGGTAGCTTTGTGTAATGGCATATAAAATTATCATCTTTGTGGTCCAAAAAAAAAAAGAAAAGTGATAGATCTATAGTGATAGAATGGTTTAGGTTGGAAGGGACTTAAAATATCATCTAGTTCTAACCCCTTTGCCAAGAGCAGGGACACCTCCCGCTAGGTTAGGAAATAGGAGGTGCAAGTGATCAGAAGATTGATCATAACAAGGCTCATTTTTTCATAATGCTGCTTATTCTAATAGGATCTTGGCTATATGCTTCATTAACTAGACTGAAAACCGTCATTATCGTATTATTAAAAAGACCTGAAAAGTACTCAAGACAAAAGAATTCTAGTCATAATTTTTAGGTACACAGAGTACTTGAATGCTGAACTTTGAACTCTGCTGAATATCTATTGACAATTTTTGTGCGGATTATCATAGCTGTAAGGGGCCATCATCTTGGTGCCTGCAGTTTTAGCACTTGTGTTTTAGCACTTGAGCTGTTCTGCATACTTAATGTTTTACTGACCTCTGCTTAACAGGTCTCCAGCTCAGGGACTTCGAGAGAGAATGAAGTGTAAATTAACTGACTCTTGAACCTACAAATTAGCAGGATTGTTTGTTGACAGACATTGTTTGTCATTTGCCTGAGAATTACCGTTGTTGTCACAAATTTATTATGCTCTTTCTAATAAAGATGGGAGACCCTGGAACATTAATGAGATACACCACTCATGCATACTGTGTTTCAGTGATTGTAAATCCTGGGGTTTAGTGGTTATGGGATTTTTTATTTTTTCAATGAATTCTGACTTATATACTACTTGCAAATGAAACCACTTCTATTTTTTAACAGGTTCAGCATAGATGAAGGCCAGACTTGGAGTACACATAATTTTACAAGCACTTCAGTCTTCGTAGATGGATTACTTAGCGAACCTGGAGATGAGACACTGGTCATGACGTAAGTTCCCGTCTACACTTCTTTTTTTAGGGTTCTCTGCTTAAGCACTTGAGCATATTTTTACCTGTGGATGTTTCAAATAATACTTGAGTCACTGATTTTTTTTTTTCTTGCTGTCACACAAGCCCTTACACTGATCATGTCCAAACAGCCCCAGTGTGCAGCCTGCCTTCGATTTGCACTATATCCTAACCCAGTATTTCAGATTGTAAAGATAAAGAGTTCTGTTTGTATGAAATTTCACATAGCTGTGGTCAGAGTGTGGAGTAATAGGACTGCAGAGTAAATCTGAGAAACTTACATAAAAATAACAGTATCCTGCATTTTTTTCTGATTTTTACATATCAAAAGCATTAAACATCTGTCCTTTCTTCTTGTGCTAATTGTCTTCACAGTGCAAACAAGTACATAGTTGTCCAAGTATGATGCTTTAAGTGACCAAAACCTGTGCTAACAAATACATACTTTAATTCTGTGCTGTGACTGAGGGAGATACTGTGATTTAGAGTTAAAAATAAGCCAGTTCTGCAGCTCGGACTTGCATTTATCTGTCTTTTTTTCCCAAAGGGCTAGGGACTGCTGGATCTGAGCTGCAGGTTTTGCTCTGTCTCAGTGTAAATGCTAACTTTTTAAGAGTGTTTGAAAGTAAAAAAATAGCTATCCAATGCTGTACATGCTGAATGCAGTAGTAAAGGGGAGTGCAAGAGGAGAGTGTGCTCCTGCACGTAGGGATGTGCAGGATGATGAGTTTGCTTCTTTCAGAGCAGTTTGTCTGATGCTTTGTATTGGAGCTCAGTATGTTCACGACAAGCTTTTTCTTCTAGAAATTAGAAATACAGCTGTCTTTAATGTGTACCAGTAGTATTTTCCTCAGGGGAAAAAAAAATAAAAAATCAACCCAGCCCGTAGTTTTTAAAGGATGTGCAGCAAAACAGAAACGCCAGCACACTTAAATGCACTGCATCTTCCTTTTCTCTCAAGCATAGATTTTTATGGTATAATATATATCACACAGAGGTATTTGTGTCTCTGAATGGAGGATTTCCATTACCTTCAGTTGAAGTATAGGGATCAAAAGCTTATTCTACTCTGTACTTACTGACAGATAGAGCACTGTGCGATGAGTTTGTGCTCTGATTTTTGGTGTTTATTTGTTGAAAAACAGTGATTTTGCAAAAAATGTATTTAATTATCTGATTAAATAGCCGAAGACCTCATGTGAAAAATACGTCTTTTTGGAATCATACGTATGAAATACGTCCTGCTCTAGCTAGATTTGATACAAGATCACAGGCTCACTAATAACCATCATATGACTTGCATGTTTCTGAGGCAGGAGTCTGACTCCCACATCTCTGCCACTCTTGCAAGGTCCTACTTTGCAACTAGTTCTACTGAACACGGATGATGTCAGTGACTTCCCGTTACAGACAAGCACTGAAAATAGTTGCTGTCTTCCTACCTGTCTCCAAACATAATGGGAAAAATAAACCTGCAGTATGTGTTTCCCCACTGCTGTTATGCCTTTTCTGCCACCTTTGCTAAAGTTTTACCTTCAGGATGACCTTGTCTGCCCAGTGGTGTTTTATTTGGCTGTGTATCAGGACTTTTTGTTGTTCTCTCTGGCTTAGATAATTTTCTCCTAAAACTTCACAGTTGGATTTAGATGCTGGGCATGACTCTATCTATGACAATTTTCGGCTCTTGAGAAATGCCATCCTCTGATTCATACTCCCTGAGGAAAATAATCAATTCTGACATCTTTTCCATTAGAAGTGCTACCATCTTTTCCATTTTGTTAGATAAGTGTTTTTACTTCTGGCAAATGATGGTAAGATGTACTTTTGTATGGTAATAGAAATAAATTAATACAGCATCTTTCACCCTGAATCCAGTCCCCAAATCCATTACTAAGAACCTAACCTGACATTTTTACTTGTGCAGGATTTTCATTTTCTCCCTTTGGTGGGGAGATTGTTTGGCTTTGATTTTGAATAAAAAGTCCAGTGTAAAATCTGCATAAATTAGCAGAGATAAGATAATTCTAAAGTGAGAAGATAACAACTAGAAGACTTTACAGCAATATTGGAGGAGACTTTTGCATTTAAAACCTCTAGAATAAACTCACAAAGGAATCAAATATTTTACTTACTTTGAAATATCCTCTTTCTGCAGGGTAATATCCCAGTTCCACTGAAATTGGGCTGCGGATTTCCTTCTATATTTTTTATTTGAATTGGGGTTAAAAGTGATAACAAAAATAGAAAGATTATCTGGGGAAGTTATTAAGAAACACAGTAATGATGTGTGAGAGACTTCACATTCTCCACCATGGTGATGGGACATTACCTGACTTGAAAAGGACTTTTGTTTAAATTCTCTTCTGTCCTAACTTAACCAAAACTAAGTTCTCTGGAAAGCTTTAGTGAAGGAAGGAACAGGGGAATGTGAATGTGGTTACCTCACATTCTTCAGAACATGATCTTCAGAAAGCTTTTAATATCCTTTAAGACAGAGCAAAAGCAAATGCAAACTTGTCAAATTCTTTTTAAAAAACTGAATTTTCATCTGCCAGTCGAAATTCATCAAAATCATTCATCCAAATCCCTCACAGTATTCAAAATATGTGCACTCAAATGCCAAGGAAAACATATTTTATTATATTGTACTGTGCAGTAGACCTACTTAAGTGTTTTAGGAATTCAAAATAGTAAACTATGAGGAAATTTTAGGGAAACGTTTCTCTGTAAAAATTATACTATAAGTAGAGCTACTTAATATATTTAGGAGTTTTAAGTAATAAAGAATACATAAATGTACGAATTGAATAAAATTGTTTTCTAAATGAAGAACTCAAATTCACCATTTATTGCTAAATGAAAAGTAAGATTTGATAAGAAAGCTTCTTAACTAATAGATGTATATTAAATTCATCAAAATAGTGCTTGTTCTAATAGGCTTTATTTTGTTCTAAGTTATTTAAGAGCGAAATTTACTGAAATGCAATGCTACACTTCACAATATATTTGGGAAAAAAAAACCTTCTTAATAACACTGTATTGAGTAATGGCTCAACTTAATGGAAAAAAGAATAATTTTATGTGTTTGAAATATTGATGTTCCTCTTCAAAGGAAGTAGTTCATATAATGAAATTTTCAAATGTTTTTAAATGACTTTTAATTACAGTTTAGCTTCTGGGACTATTTGTGCTGAGACTGCAGAGTAAATCCAGCAGGGACAGTAACTGTGTTACTTCAGACCATGGTCCCTTTTATTAAGAGTTTACATAAAATGACTTCTTTTCTTTGTGTTAGGTAGGATCAAATCCTTCTTTACAGGCCATTGTGTACTTATATAATATATAAGTACTTATATAATATATAATTCTTGAAGGGATTTTTTTCCTTGAGGTCTTATGTAGAGTAGCAATTTAAGATGCTACTATGAACTTATTGACATCTCTTAACTTCTTCTTGTGCTTTGTGTTCTTGAAGTCAGTTGTTGCATTCCTGTTGACTTCCTAAATGGTAATGGGAGAAAGAAAATAGGTTAAACTTAATCAAAACAAGGTGGATATTGTTTAACAGGGTTTAGATATTAGGCAGAACCATCTGGATTTTTGCAGCTGTCAATTTTGCCTAGGTACGTTGACACTGACATGAACAATCAAAATTACATGTAGTTTATGGAGCTTATTGTTGTGCCATATGTGCCTACACATTTTCTTGTTGTCTTTGAGTATCCTTCCAGGTGGAGGTTACACCTTTGCATCATGTGCTCTTCACTGCTAAATTTCTCATATTGTACCCCTTAAAAAAGGCAGCTAACGGGTTAATAAAGCCTGAGTAGGTAAGAGAGTAGCTGATTTCCCAAGATGAATTATAGGTTTTAGTTGCAACCATATGATTTCTTGTTTGAATGAAGTTTTAAGAAGCACTGCTTGGTGATGAAATCGTTCTGCTCTCTGTGTAATAAAAAGCATACCTCAGTGTCCATAGGTGGAAGAAACACAGCAAGACAATGGTGACCTTGATTTCAGTCTAACTTAATGTATCACCTAACTCAGGATTGCAGATAACAATTTAGTGTCAAGTCTCAGCTGGTATTATTTTTGTCACCTTTGTGTACACAGATGTTAGCAGTGCAAGTCTGTGTACTGTAGCATGACTACAAGCCTGTGGTCTTGGAGCCCAGACCATGAAACAGCCTCTTCCTTCTCTGTCTGCTAAAAAGAACCCCTTTGAGTGAAGCTTTATTTTTCAATTTCCTTTTCATGAAGTTGACATACAAAATTCAGAAGCAGTGGAATGTGATGCTTTTGATATCTTGCTACAGCCTATGTTTGGGGCACTTTGAGGACAGACCTGGAGATACATTTAAATAGCAGGAGCTGAAAGAGTAGGAATCTGTGTCCTGAAAGAATCTTTTATCACTGTATTTTTTTTAAAGGGGAGATGAGAAAAAGTGTGGCACAGGGACTCTTTCATTCAGAAAGTGTCTTTAGGTCAGTTTGGGAACCTTTCACTAAGTGAGTGACTGTAGCTATGTAGCTCTAACTTCGCTTTCACGAAGACAGTTCTCGTTTCGTTTCTAGATTTGGCAAGTAGGAATAATGAGGTAGTCTTTAGAAACATTGTCCACCAAAAAAAGTCATTCTAACATTTTACTTGACTGTAGTTATGCCTTCAACTCCATTTTGCTATATTTTGCTTTAAGAATAAGGACCACTACTTTGCCAACCATAAGCTATTTATTCTGCTTATAAGTTGAAGTCCAAATGAATAATTTCCTATCTGGAACAAAAGAGATCTGGTTTTCAAGTATGTGAGTAGAAAAAGAAAATTGTTAGCTAGAGAATTAATTATAAAATCTTATATAAAATTCTACAGGTGAATTTGATCTTTAAGATGATATCAGAGAGCTGGTTGTTCTAAAGCTATTATTTGTAATGTCACATGTTTCTCCTTGAATCAGTCCATTTTCTTCACAGTCCACCTTG